TGTTTTCTTTCTTGGCGATCGATATATCGGCCAAACGATCCATTTGCTCCCTTTGTCGACGTTGACTCTCGACACGATCGCATTCTTTCTTTCTTTCTTTCTTTCTTTCTTTTCTTCTTTTCCCTGGCGCTGATCCGAAGGATTACGAAGCGATCGTCAATACGAATATGAATAATGACTCTCGGGCTGAAGAGAGAAAATACAAGATTTGAAGATAGCATTAAAGATTCAAGAATGTGATATTCTCAAGCTCTCCGAGAGGCGCTCGTTAATTTTTATTATCTTTTCTTTGTCTTGGCTTTCCTATGAAAGATAAAGATGCCAAAGCCAAGGCGCAATTTATTCCTGTTGTGACCGAGAATTATTCCTTCACGATTCTCTTCGCCGATCGATATTCCGGCCACGTGTCGTCGCACAGCCGAAATTTAATCTGATCGCGCCTGCACCCAGACAGTCTTAACCTCCTCCCTCACGAATTGACCTAGATTATCGCAGCGATTGGCGTTTTCTATTTTTATGAGGGCGAGCATTTCGCGTTTGGCATTGAACTTGGAACACTTCCTTGCGACATTGATTAATCCGATCGCGACACCTTGAGCTCTGTATAATTCAGGCCGAATTACGGTGACGTTAGTTGAATGCAAGTTTACAATTTTAATCTGAATTTTAATCTTTTCAGAAATATGAGAATTTTACAATTATCGTCGGTTTTTTTTCTTTTTTACTATCGAACGAAACATTCTTGCATCAGCAGCGATAAAAATCGAGGAGGACGGTATATACTTCTTGTTCCGTTAACGTTGCGACCATGTTGCTGGAACTCTTGAAAACGTTCGTGAAATCGATTTCGTTCACGAAGAGGCTCTTGAGAGCGGTCCGTGTTCCGGAGTTTCGCTCGCGGAAAAAGCCGCAGAACGACGAGGACGATTGCTCCATTTTCCTTTTCTCTCCCTTTGCCCTTTTTGTACCCGCTATATTTTTACCAAATTCTCCTTGGAATTTTTTGCTGATACAGCCGCGTCCTTTACTGGCATTTTGTTCTGCCCCGGTAGCTTAGCGCTATATAACGAAGAACGACAAGATGCGATAGAAGACGAAAAAAGAAAAGAAAAGAATAACAGAACCACAACCTCGTCGGCAAACGTCTGCCAATTACAATAGAAGCGATTATATATGCGTCCCTAGATTCGCTAACATTCCAACAGCTTCTTCGCAGAAAGAGACTCGTGCGAATTAGGATATTCCAGATGCAAATCCACTAAACGCGTTTTCGAAAAATTTAATTTCGACTCAAGATTATAAGAAAAAGAAAATTCATTCCGAACGTCTCTCCTAAAATCTTTTTATAATTACAGATAAATCGAGTAAGACTTAAAATTAAAGACACCTTATTTTTTTTTATAAAAAACGATCGCAAAATATTCAGTGACGAGATACAAATGTGTGAAATGTGCGTTTCGAGGATGAGAGGTGCGCGCATTGTGCCAAGGATCACCACGATCGGACGTGCGGCGCGTTGACGTAGCTTTCCTTCTCGAGCATTCGGCATCGGTGTGTTATCCGCAACACCGGAGGCGCGCTGAGAATCTAGGACGAAAGATGCGAAACGGCGGGCAAACGGCGCAGCAAACGGCGGTGATGACGCCGCCGCATCTGAACGGCTCGGCGCAGTTCATATCGGGCGGCTATGTGACGGCGGGATATCTGCCGCGTCAGTCCTGGACTCAATTCCAAGCTACGCCGCCGCATTCGGCCAGGAGCGGCGGCAGACCCCTGTCACTGCCGCCGCCCCCGCCGCCCTCCAGACGAGACGGCGGCCAGAGGCCCTGCAACGGGGGTCCGGCCAATACTAAGAACACATCCCTGCCACATCCCAGATCGACCCACAGGAGTACCACTCCCTCGGTGAGTTCATAATTCCCGGAGGCTTCCCGGAGGCGTCTCAGAAGACACCCTTCGATTCGGATGTGATTGAGCGAGTAGGAGATAATCGATTGGCCGAAAAAGATTTTTCTGAGAGAAAAAATTGATAGTGAATAATTCATAAATCTCTTGGCGGACAAGAGCGATTGGATCTAGAAATGTTGATGGATGGAGGATGTAGAGAGATAGAGACTGCGTCTGAAACAGATCGTCTATTTCTTTTCTTTCTTTTTTTTTTTTTACGAGTGAACTGCGTTGTATAAATCGCATTTTAACGCCGTGCGAACGATTCAGGGAACTATTCAGCCTCAGATCGTTATTTCTCCACTGCCGGTCGGTAGTTACGCGGTACTTTATCGAACGCATAAAAGGAGGAAGAACGCTGCAAAATCGAGAACATTCCGGCGGCGGGATGTGATACACGAACGCCAACTTTGGAGGTTCGTAGGGGTAGCGGGGGTTTCCTTGGAATCGGTCCAGAAAGTCGCGATTCAGGAAATGCTTTTTCGCAACACAATTCTGAAATCGCATAGAAAGGGATAGAAAAAGATGGCGATCTGCATTTACGAGTGTACGTTGCTGAGTGAAATCGAGAAATGTCCGTATTTATAGTCGCAGCTCGAAACACTTTGCTAAATAACTGAGCTAAAACCAATCTTGAGACACAATTCAATTTAATGAATCGATCGTGTTGACGATTTGATTGTTACTCGAAATGAAAATAAATTTAATATAAGAATGTAACTATTGAATCGTGTGTCCCGAGACATGGAATTTTATCCTGGATATCACCTGAGCAATGGATATATAAAAATTTTTCGATCTTGTATCCAGCGGTAGTCGCACGAATATCTCTTCCCCCGAGGCTCGAGAGAGAAAACGGAACTTTGTCCGATGGTAGGTGAAGTGCACGTATTTTCCGTAATCCCTTCGGCGAATCGAAGGACCTCGCAAGAACGTCCCTGTAGTGCGATTTGGAAAATGGATTTGGGAGTCGCCGCGACGGCGACTGCGAGCCGCTGTTACGGATATCGCTCTGGATATAAGGGATGAATTGAAGAGCGATTTATCGGGTATATCTGCTTGTATCGTACCTAGGATTTATAGTCAATTGTGTGGCAGACACAAAGGGCGAAACATAGATAGATTTCACGAATGCATTTCCCGCTTAGATTTACGGTACTGATGTTAAAAGTTCACCATGTAAAAAACATGTAAAACATTCGTAGATTCAATGAGAAATATTTCAGGAGTATTTTCAGTAAGGGGTAAGAATTAAGGTAAGGATTCTTGAAATTAAAAGGTTCAATATTCCATTTGATGTGATCCGATAGGGATAGGATAGTTCAAGTATTTTAATATTGGAAGTTTGTCGGATATCTCCGGGTTGCTGGAAGGCTTTAATAATGGAGGACGCGAAGGTCTTACGAAGGTTCGAGAATTTATTGGAAATTAACTAACACTTTAATATTTTACTGGGCATCTTGTAACGCGATTTAATTCAGTTGCTAAGCCGATTGGTAACGGTACGGATAAAACGGACGATACCTGGGCGGAGAAAGGAATGGGGAATCACGCGTCGTGAGTATCCAGAAAAGCACGCCGTGGAATACCTAATCCTCGGAGCCTACGAATATCCCTGCAGGAATGTCGGAAATTACGTGTGCCTTCGACTCGCACATCGAGGAAATTGGATTTTTTTCATAAATCACGCGATAGAATTGAAAATTAATTTTCCGATAGCGATTAATCTGACACATTCTCGCCGTTTTTCTGACACTTATCATCGGGAGAATAAGAACCCGCAGTTCCCTTTTTGCAATATATCCTACATTAGTACGGGAAATTAATTTTCTCATTATAATTAGTCCAAGTCTCTTGTCATTCTTCAGAAAATTATCGTTGTAATGTACAGTGAATTTATCTTTTTTCTTTTTCTTTTTTTCTTTTTTTTTTTCTTTTTTTTTTGTACGATATATCACGGTCCATCCGTGAGCGGCTATCGATCAAAGTATCAACGTATCCATCCGGCTATACTGACAGTCCGATTTTGCAATTCAATTATAAGTTGAAATTGGTTCGCTGATGAAAACTGGTAGACAGTAGGGAATACCTAGAACATGAATGGTAATCTATTTGTAGAACATTTGATGGGTGCCACGCGAATATAGTGTTACCCATTGGTGCATATTCCACGACACACTGGCGCGTGGTAAACGCACGTGTCTGTCCGTTAACAATTCTCGACACTGTGACACTGTAATGCATCCAGCTAGAAAATATTTATATCACGTTTGTGCCAACGTACAATAGATGATTCGGGGAAAGTTGACTTCGAGCTATCGAAATTGTTGTTGCATTCTCCGTAAATTGCGATAAATCACGTAATTTTTACGCCGCTGTTGATACACTCTCTATATGTTATTAAATAGCACGTAATTTTGTATGAAATGTCGATGTAGCTGTTTCACCACGAGAAAGAAAGAAAGATCAAAAAAAAAAAAAAAAAACAAACATATTCGCCAATCTCCGGGTCTCTCGAGAAAAGTCCTGGAGAAAAAGGCTCTCGTGTGGCTTCGTGCGTGTGCGACTCGCGAATAAAACTTCGACGCAACACACGTATCACCTCGCGGCAAGAATGCACGGGGAGTTTCGCGATGAGATTCGAGAGACCAGTTCCGCCCGCAAAGCCCAGACGAGCTGGCTCTTAACCTGAGCGTCCTGAAATCCGAGCTACATCGATACGCTAGATAGAAAGTAGTCGAGGTGTCGCGTTTCGATCCAGACGTCGGTCGGTTTGCGGTCGGAAGAAACATTCGAGGAGCGCACGGAAAGACGGCGCGAGAAAGAGCACCTTTCGAAAATTAACTCTCCCGTAACTCCGCCGTAAGCGTCATGGGTTCAGCGAGGATGTATCGGATCCTGCTGTTCGGTGAGCCCTAAATTGGGAAACGATCGCGAATCGATCGCGGGAAGTAAAACGAGGGGAACTTCGGAAAGACGTGACTTAATTCGAGGATCACATCCCCGCTCCGCGCGTTAACAGCTTGAGACTCTCTTTATTTGGATGCGCGTAAGATCTAGATTCCTCCTCCGCGCGACATTATAATTCCATATCTCTCCTTCAAAACGCCCCACATTCTGTCGCCGTCGTGGCGCAACGGTCATAACAAGGCAAGACGCGGGCAAAAGAGCGGCTCTCTGGCGCGAGCGTGCTCCGATGCAGCATGGAAATACCGGTGTAACAGGATTCTCGTGGACCGCAAGATCTCGGCGCGGAGATCGCGCGCGTACACGCCGCTTTTTTCCCCATCCCCTCCCTCTTTCTTTTTCTTTTTCCTTCTCTCTTCTTTCGGCCGAGGCCAGTGCAAGGTCGACACTCTCACCATATTCGCTTCACACGTGCGGACTCGCGTGCGTTCGAGAAGGCCACGCGGCGATGCGCTCGAAACGAAATATCCAGTTACCATCGAACAAACGCATTTGTCTCCGCTGCCGAATTCGTGCTGCGGAGATCGATTATTCAAAACGATTCTCTCTCCCGTTAACTCATCTTCGATTTAACAACGAGGCAAAGAGAAGATATTCGACGTTTTAACGGAGATTGTAATTGTCCAAGTCGATAAACCTTTTCTCTCTACTGTGCATTTTGCATTAATTACTGTATGGCGAGTTTAATATTTTTGTTGCGAAAACATCGTATTTCACGTACGACGACGATTTATGTTGAGTTTTTATTCGATACTCTCCCGACCAGTAATGTCGGCTGCAAAAATAATTGCGTTGCGAGCGCAAGCTTGCGTCGCGGAACGTACGCGCGCGGGCTCGATTGCCCGTTCAACAATAAGCGAGCGACGACATTTTACGACTCGGAATCCGCGGTACTTTCGGTGATAATTTCCAACGCGAAAACGCGCACGCGAAAACAATTCGTCCGAGACAATTTATTTATGCGACATGCGTTTTTCTTTTTCTTCTTTTTTTTTCTTTTTTTCTTTTTTTTTTCTCCTATGCGCGTAGATGCATATCTCGTCGATGCCATTATTGCCGACGCATAAACAACTTCGGGGGCTTCATGTTTATGACGTCGAATATAAATTGCACCCGGAGAAATATTGCGCGGCGCGCGTAACGTCCCATCCTGAAGGATGCCTTGACGTTTAACCCGCGCTGTGCCTTCGCGCGTGCAATGGTCGCTGGCATTCTACGCGCGATCCTGCGTGCATACATAAATAAACGCTCACGGGTGTGTACAGTATGCATAACTCGCGTCGCATAACGTCGTAGTCGCTTACCCACGCCGATGAGTCAGAAGAGCCGTTTCGACGACGACGGCGACGTGTGCGATATCGCATCGTTTCCGATTGTAGAGTTTACTTAATTCCGATAACGAATATTCTCGTCGCTTTAGATCGAACACGGCGCGGATCACGGTGTCCAAACAAATTAATTATAATCGGTGACGACGATAAAGTCTCGGTTCTTCGGAACGAACTCCGGCCTGACGTTGAACGGATAAACATTTCCATGCGGTCATTTATCATCCGGATAAGAATCAGTCATTGCGACGTTCCAAAATGATAAAAAGCACGGTTAATTATGAGCGTGTGGCGTATCCGTTTATTTCTAGCGCGATAAAAGCGTAATAAGATCGCAAACAAAAGAAGGCACATTATTCGCGTTGCGCGCGATCGTGCGCGATTAAACCTGTGACCGCAAACACATTAATCGCGAGGCTATTTGGAAATTCTCGTGTAATAGCGAAAAAATAGAGAGGCGGTCACGCTATCTAATTTTCTAAAATCCAAGAAGCCTTGAAGAGCTCTCGACGCCACGTGTAGACGAGCGCATTTCGATTCGATCTAAGCTCGGAAATTTTTCTTTCCGGGAACGTCTCTTACGAGAGATGCCCTGACCTTATTTGCGGATCACGACGTCATCGGATTGATATATGACTCCTTGAATTAAATCCCGCGTGATAA